TAGGTGTAATATGGGTGTATCTAGGTACACCCATTATCGCTCGCGGGGCTGCATTCTGGACCAGCTGAAGTCTTCGGACACTCTTCAAGGGCAGTCCCATGTAGAGTGCGTTTCAGTAATAAAGAAGATATATTAAAAGAGATAAGTAACTATTATGACTATGTTGAATATTATTATGTTAATATTGTAGAATTAATATGTGGAGTGTTATAAAGATTGCAGAATCAATATTAATTTAATGAAGGATGTTGTAATTTTGATTATTGTTTAACAGAGATATTTGTACCCAGACAACAGACTGTTTACCTGAAGTTGGAATGATTATATTAAAATTTTAAAAATATATATTACTGAAAAGAACTGCCCTGTAAGGTAGGGTGTGTTGACAGATCAGGAGTGACCCAAAGTAGATCAAGGTGGACTTGAATTTGGGATCCCCCTGGTGCCAGTCCAGCATCTTCAGCAGGAAACCTGCCTGCCTCTCTTCCTTCAGACCCAAAGGGATGGGATGGGATGGGACAGAGCCGAAAGCCACTCGGTCCTGATGCTGAGCTTCTGATGCAGATTCTAAGAGAGCTGCTGGAGACCTGGAGTAGCAGCAGTGCTGTGAAACACGCCCCAGCCGAGCAACAGCTGTACATCAGCAAGGCCATCCTTCTCTGCCTCTCTCACCTGGAAGAAGAGGATCTCTCAACCAGCCGACAAGGTAAAAGAGGCAGAAGAGGACTTGGGAGAAAGGATGAGGGCAGAATTGGCTCCTTTCCTTATTAATGTTCTGACTGAGGCTTCTCAAGAGCATGGAGCAAATTCCTTGTCCCGACAAAAAGTCCTTTTATTAGTTGACTGTGAATTCTGCTCATTCACATCCAGCTAAGTCTTTCAAGGGAGGATTTACAGTCACAGACCTTCTCTGGCTTGGAGTGCTGCCAGGCCGATATCTGCAAAACTCGGCAAGGAGTCTCGGAGAGTCATGAACCATTTAAGCAATCTAAGTGTCTCCTGCAAACTCCACTCCCCTTTCGCTCCTCTTTTCTTTCCTCTGGGAGGGTCCTTTCATCGTCCGCCTGTGGCCTTTCACCCAAGTCGACCCCTGTTCTTTAATTCTTCCCTTCGTCTTGCAACTCTGTTCATGCGCACACTGGGAACAGGTTCCTGCTGTTCTTCTGCTCCACTGATCTCTGACTCTGAAGGCAGCTGATAACTGTCAGACAGCCCTGGGCCCCTCTCTGCCTCCGACACAGAGCCCTCATCAGAGCCTTCCCCTGACTCCAGGACTGGCTCAACTTCCTCCCCAACCTCCTCACTGTCTGAGTCTGCTACCAGCTCTTCTGGTGGGCCACAACAACTA